CAGTAACAGATGACTTCCGGCCGACCATATTAATTCTAGTCAGTTCACATCTGAACCGGAATACATCTCGTTCGCCATCTAGTTTTGGTGATTCCACTTCGCCTCGTGTAATATTTAGCTATTAATTTTATTAAACAGGACGCCAAAACTAGCCACATTAATTAAAAGTTGTAGTACTGCGTGACCAACTACATAGGAAACTGACAATACGCTTGATATTCCCATACCGTTTGCGTTGAGAAAAAATCGGAACATGTATTTCAAAGAAGGTTTCCAACATAACCACCAACGGAGGTGTGATACTGTTTGGGCTGGAAAAATCCTGAACAAGTACTCAACATAAAATTTCCGGAATAGATGCACCTGCTTGCTTGTTGGATAAAAAAGTACGCAATACTTTGCAATAAGGTTGTTGGACTACATTTGAAAGCGATGGGCGATTCGGTCGCTCCAAATGGTTTGAAAGATCGATTGCGTCCTGAGATGATCTCGTTTCTTGCTTTCCGCCTCGTTTCGGTAGTGAAAGGAAGACGGTTGTAGAGGAAATTGGGAACGGCAAACTTATAAAACCTACTGCTACTCACAAAAAATACAAAGACTTCGTTAAATATTGGTATGCAAATGAAAACTGCTAGCACTGTTCTACTCAGACCTGACTGAGTATCTCTCAATTGTTGCAATACCTTCAGGGCCTTCCTAGACTTTACACGCAGTTGGCTTGCCCAGATAAAAAATGTCCCATAGAAGCGTGACGATACATATTATATGCAACATCGATTTTCACAAATTGGGTTACCATAAGACTTTTGTTTTTGCCATCTATCTACATATTTAGCTGTTAGTAACGTTTTTTGTTGAGTTTATTCGGTCTTATGGCGACGTGCTGATCAGCAAGCTGGATTGGGTTGAGTTGATTCAAACAACTTTTCTTATGTAAACCCTAATATGTATTCTTTTGAAATGATGAGATATTCGACAGACGTGGTAGGGGATTATCAGCCGATTATCTCGATATAAACGATTATGATTCCAAATCGTGTTTGTAGTGTGGCCCTAATACTTTGGTGACCGTGGTAGGCAACCACATAAGTTTGCATCGTTCTCGGATGACATGGATGATGTTAACGGGGAAACAGAATTGTGGGCGCGAAATCCCAGGGATTTGCCTGAAGAGTGCGTCCTACAAAAATAGTTTAATTTTTCCCCTTGGGACTTAAACCCACAAAAAAGGTAATCTCACGACTCGACTCTTAAACATTCACAAAATCATGAAACTATTTATGTTCAGTCATGAATGCCCATGGATTCATTGGGCATGCTATATATTAAGCAATGGGAAAAAATAAATGCAAAGGTTTTGAGTCCAAAAGTCCTCCTGTAGCTGGTCAGGTGACCGGTACATATTGTCCTGCGGTTATTAACTCACTGAAAATTTCAGTTCTTCGGGGTTATGTGCCTTGGCACATACGTGTGCATTTAGATGTAGAGTCCCAGGTAGTGTTACATCTGACAGCCGACTTGTTCCACCCTAACCACCAGAACAGGTTTTTCTAATTAGATAGGATACACCCAATTTAACAGGTATCATCAATATACCCTCTCGTTGAGCTGTGCAAAGTGGGCTCTAATTCTGTATGCCGCGTTATCGACATTTGCTGTGCGAACAAAATTGGTGCATCTGAATAATTCTATATACCTTTGGGGTATTCAAATGCGACACTGCTCACGGGTAAGGGCGATAAACTGACATAGCAAGAATCGCAGGTGTAACTGAATGGACAGATAACATACTGTTTACTCAATGTCTTCTCCTGCGTTGTACTAATTCACTCAAGAAAAATCTGAGTTGTGTCTAAAAGTGTTCCTATTTGCTCCGAGTTCACAATAAAGCATGTCCAGCTTTCGCAGCGCCTGAGTTTGTTAAGGAACTGATTTGAGTGAACTTTCTTGTCTGCTAACCAAAGTGTATAGTCTACATATTTGTAACGGTTTTCCAAGTCACCGATAAATATAAGCAGTATTCAGGTGTCGTCAGAGGTGCGTGCTCAAATAAGAGAGCTGGCTGGATTTTGATTAAGGTAACATGAGTCTGCTTATATAATATTTTTGAACGAAAAATAGGTCACACGTACGTTGCAAAAGACTTTGCGCAGTCACATAACATCTAAATCAAATACACCTGGAGTCAAGGTAACGTTATTCTCACTTTTTGAGAGAGCACATATCTTTTCCACGTAGTTTTATTTGTTCCAATCTGTATTGCCAACATTGATCTGACGGCCAAATAAAACGCTGTCCTCGTTCTCCTGAGTATCACATGATGTCTTGGGGTATCGTCTTGTTGAGAGGCTACGCACAGGACTGATATTAACGGCATTATAAACAACTTTAGATTCTTCAGGTTTATATCATACTTGGATAATAATCGTTCAATTTTATTCGACGGGTTTGCAAACTCAACTTTTAGGCCTAAATGACTTCCGAAAAAAAAATCGAATCCGTGGATAGTTTGGGACACTCTAGAAGGCGCAGTTGTTGTCCACAGTTTCGACATGACTGGCTGGTCAAAATTCAACAGAGTCTTTAACACTATGTGTTGGGCCACACCGAATTTCCACAGGTATGGAGAGAGGCTCGGGAGACAGCCGAAGAGCGTGAAGTTATAAAAGCGTGCACCCATGTCCAGCAACAGCAGCCTAGATTAGTTTAGAATTGTTGCAGCAAAACGAATGAGTGTTTGGACGAAGGGTATACTAAAATAAAACTTGCCCAAAGTCCGTTAGATACATGGATGATACCGCCATCTGGCCCGTCGTAGAAATTACACTAGAGGTTTATTCATGGCATTGACAGATACCAACCACTAGTCGATCAACTGGTGACATGGCAGGCCAGATATTTAAGCGTGCCTGGGAAAAATATCGTTGGTAGCTTAGCCAGTGGCGGCAGTTCACTTGTTCGAGTACATTCCTAGGCGTGTTTTTATTGTGCTGTGTGAAGCCGAATCTTTTTCCAAGAACGAAATGTACATATCTGATTGCTATTAGGTGGTATCTTCATCGCATTTGGCCGTCACAAATGTTGCGTGTACCGGTTTTTCATATGCACTCAGTGAGTTCTGACTAAAGGTGATTACTTTGCAACAATTTAAATTCCTAAAGGCTTTCCTCTCAATGAAGCATTGTATATACTCAGAAAAAGAAAGCCAGCATTGTGTGGAATGTTTCCGTAGATGATATTTACTGTTAGAGGATTTACGGTTTATGATCGATGCAGAAACATTTTTGTTCCCCTAGTTTAACATGCTTTACGAAGTTACAAGACACTATCCCCATCAATATAAAGCACTTTGTAAACAAATTATTTTCAAATTGTCGGGGGTTATTTTTGAGAGTTTCCTTGAGGAACATCTGAAAGTTTTCTTATCTTCGTCACACAGGTTTATATCTGACTAAATTCCGGCCGAAGGAGCCTGAAGGGTTCCAGGAGCATAGTTTAATAGAAATTTATCAGTTCTCACTGACTGTCGACGGATTGTCAGAAACTAGTGCGGTAATGCCGTGCCAAAAACCGTAGGACGAGGTTCACCGATTGGTTATAGAGGATGTGAGCGTCCCCGCATTCGGAATCAGATAGCACGTTCAAAGGCGAGCCAGAGTGTTGTAATCTAGACATGTTATTGCTTCACTATGGCGTGTTACCTAATGCATGTTTACCGTTGTCACGGACAGTTTCCTCTACTGGACGTGAGTTGTAAAGCCAACCATAATATTACGGTCTTATCCGTTGATACAGACAGATGCACAAGAGATATGCGGATGAGAGAACTGGGTGGAACGCAACATATAATACGGAGCAGAATTAATCAAGGTCTATGACAAGTGTATGTGCAACGCACGGACAGACTGTTCTAGGTTATAGGTAATGAGGTGAGATAATTTTGATCTGCTTTAGTGGGGAACGTGACGGAAAATCACCTGGTCCTCATGTAAAGGGAATAGTCAATATTACTTGTTCTTGGCTATTTATTCGTATTCTAACTAAACTCAAAGTAAGGCTGAGGGTAGTGGCCGATGTGCGCTGGGCAAAAACAAGTAGATTGCTACGTACGAAGTGAAATTTAATGAAATATTGTTGGTGCGCTTTTTTTGTTGCGGACGCTTACACTTATTGCTTGTCATGAAGTTTGGATCTATGTTTTTTGCGTATTGATCCTTTAATTGACATTTCGTGTAATTATGACATCTCCACTGTTGTACTCCAGTTTGTTTGCGTAACAAATAGTTCCGTCACTAAGGCACTAAAAATGTTTGAACACATTTCTTGCCGAATTCACTAACACTTGAAAGGGATTGTGGATTTTTTCGTAAACTATAAACTGATATTTAAGGCATCAAAATAAATCTGTTATTGGATAATCTGCGGAGAGGGATGTGAAGGGCAATGGTTAGATATTTTGGAGACTCCAAAACTTTTTAACAATTAATCAAAGATAAACCTATCCCCAGCAATAAATAACCGTAACTTCTAACTCATATTTGGGTGTTATAAACGTTTTACCGCCACGGCAACGCTCTTCCCCTCACTGTTTCCACATTTTTGGGACCTAATGAAAAAATTACATTTTTTCTGGACAATTAGTCCACTAGCAACTGGCCACCTTAGACGCCCGGGGATTTGTAGAACAAATCCCGAGGGCAAAATCCATACACTTGCAGTTGAATTTGTGATATTATACGTTTGATGGCCTCTAGAGCATAATAAAGTAAACCAGTATATCAGAATCATTACGACAGTTGAATTGTAAATGCCTGTAAGAATTCAAAATTTTATATTGGTCAGTTTAGAAAAAAAAACTAAATTGGATGTCCTCAGTGACTATCCCGTGCGCGGTATTAGGCTTTCGCACTCCCACGCACATATCAAGAAAATATTTCCGATGGTATAAAATACGTATGTCATATATTTGTCTATCAAACAAGTCTACATAACTTCTAAAATCAACTTGTGAGAGTCAGGTCGAACAAATTTTGCAGAATATCAAATTCCGTTTCATGCTGAACACCAGGTAGGCTTCCTTGTAGTGTTTGTAGACTGTACCAACGGCCAAATTTCGGTTCACTGATGGATGAGGAAGCAGCAATAGAGTGAAGTGATTTCGAGGACAACTGACCTTTGGTCATCTCCATGTAAGACTCCCGAAGCAATTCCATCTGTCGATTGATCACCTTCTTAGCCTCGGCCAAAATGATCAGGTTTTGTCGCAAGTTTTGCACGCATTTCGCCACAGTGAGTGTCGGAATGTTTCGTCCAGTTTGTGCACAGAAGCTTTGTTCAAGTAGTCTGATATGTTGTTGTGAGGTCGAACACACTTTATCTACCTTCCTTTCAGATTCTATTGTTTCTACGTTTGACTGAGAAAAAACGGTATCATTTGGGTATGGGGTGGATGAGCTTCGCGATGATTCGTCTTCAGCTGCAGGTTGGGTGTTTAGAGATGCCGTGCTGGATGAAGATAATGATGCTACTGATGAAGGCGTCTCGACTGACTGAAATATATTAAAGATGGGAAACATTGCCGGTGGGACTGTAGGTTCATAGGATCCAAGGTCATTATAGGGTTGGTTGATATTCGCTAATATGGGAGTCCAAGGTGCAGTGAGATATGTAGGACGTGTCGTACTATACATGTGTGGGACTACCAGCCCCGGTGGAGGTGCTGGTGATGGAGGCGGTTCAGTGCTCAGTGGAATGTGACTGAAATTGGGGGAATCTGTTTCGTGCTTCATTCTTTGTTCGGTGAAACTAGAATCGGCACTCACGAAAATTCCGCTGTCAGTCAAAGAGTGGTGTACAGAAGCAGTGGAATGCTCGTGTTTGAGTATTAGGTTACAACCAGAGGGAGGTTGCAAATTATGATTCAAAGAACGTGGGTTCGTCTGATTAACGGAAACGAAATCATTTTCAGGTAATGGAATACTTTGTTTGAATGTTTTCTGGCAAGTCGGACATGTGGCTCTCCAACTGTTCAGCTGACGTTCACAGTCAAAATTATCCTCATCACGTAGCTTGTTTTTTAGTTTAACTTTTCTCTGGTTCAAGACATAACCAGTCCTTGCGTGTTTGTTCTCAAACCTGCAAGTCGAAAGTCCCCAACATTTCGGTTTTTGCATATGTGGACCGGAATAATCTATCCGGGGATTGATCTTTTTTTGCACTGCATGATTTAATCCTGTGTTTTGGAGTAAAAAGGATTCCTCAACAGTTATGGGTTTTGATCCATATAAAGCACCAGGTTCGACCACGCTTTTGGGAGTCCCACAACTTTTCTTACTTCGAGAAAATAGCTTACTTAAGAAAGACATACAAGAAACTTTTTCAAAATGGTGTTGCTGTTCGTTTGTGAGTTTGTTGTGACACAGTCCTCTCTCAGTGCAGCTTGAAACGTACTGAAGCGGGTTCATCTTACCAAGTGGCTGAAAGAAAAGGAAATTTTTGTGTAGAAGTAAAGGTTTAACAACACAAAAACAACAAATCTAAACGGCGGTCCTTTAGATTGGTTAAAACTGTGGTTGCCTTACCTTGTTTTTTAATGCCCGACTCAAAGTGTAATAATTTCTCGATCTTTTCTAAGGAGTCTAGTATCCGTCACCAAACCAAACAAAAGCTCAGTTGGTATATAAGTTGTTATCTGACTAACTTCTCTTTCCAAATTTCAGGTTGAAACTTCTCAAAATTTTTCCGTAGGTAATATAAAACCCAATATTTCTACGAATGTAAATGGTCTGCAACACCAGAGAGAGGGCAATGTTATCTTAGGTTTGAAGTTAAAACAACAGTTACCAAGCAACTGTCAGTGTATTTTTCCATTTTGAGCACCTTCGTATAAATCACATGACTATTGTAACACTGGACACTTTTCTAACGAGATCTCAGGGAATATACTACAAGGTGAGAAAGGCCTAGTTTGGCAATGGGGAATAAAATTTTGACCTCTCGCTGACTGTGTCTAACCATGTCATAAATCACATGACTATTGTAACACTGGGCACTTTTCTAACGAGATCTCAGGGAAATATACTACAGGTGAGAAAGGCCTAGTTTGGCAATGGGGAATAAAATTTTGACCTCTCGCTGACTGTGTCTAACCATGTCGTACGTAAATCTCTATCGAGAATGCTCTCTGACTGACTAAACCCGTCTAGTCAATGTGCGGCCCAAGAATCGCGCACTAGATACTCCAAAGGCAACCATAAAGCTTTGATAATCAGTCAAATGAAGGTGCTTTTTAAAAACGTCAGGAGAGTTTCAATCAAGCTCGTGTTTTGGGATACCAGAGTGTAGGCATTTTCGGATAATACAAAGTGCTAACACCCGCCTTAATGTCCGGTAATATACGCACCATCCTAAACTTTTGGCTACTATCTGGAAAAGCAAAGCACCTGTCTAATCTTTTGAACCAAATAGTCTTGGGTTATCAACCTGGCATTTCCAAATCCTGGCCCACCTAACCAGGCTCGTTTGTCATGTGACGTGATTCCCACAAAATCATTGAAGCTACAGCCATAGATCAACTACAATAGCATTCCGAATGAGTACCCCAGAGATAAGGAAGTTTGGTCCCGGTTCTCTCGCCCATTATTCCCTTCGCTGTTTGGAATGTAGCTACGTTGTGAAGCAGAATAAATGGAAACACTTAAGCGATATGACAACGACGTAAACATCAACGCGGATTTGAACGAACAGTGAATGTAAAAGGCTGATATGCTCTTTCTTGTTTCAGGGCGCGTGGTTTGAATACACAGGCTACTATGTGATGCCGATGGGAGTAGACTATTAGCCAAAAATTCAGTCAACGCAGGATATCTGTGAAAAATATCGAAAAGAATTTGGAACCTTCAATTCCAGCTGATCGGCATATCGCTAATACAGGCTTACGCGGCATCATGGCTAATATTACACGCACGTCTCCAAGACGAGCTCTCTACAGCTAAACTCGGGCTTCTTGTTACTTCTAATTTCAATATCTTGTAGCTTTAAATCCCTGAGATGCACTGAAACCACCTAAGTAGCTCAAAAATAAGGATTATATCACATCAAATGATGAAATTCGACTGAATATTAGGAGTAAATGATTTGGCTGTTTGGCGCAGTCTGTTACTTGAATTTTTGTGGCCTATATCAGAAATTAATTTGGCTTGAAGGGGTTTCGCTGACTGACTTCTACTAGTGACACGTGCTTTTTGGTGCAAAAAGAAGTTTATCAACCAGTCAACCGCAAACATTGCAGGCAAACATTTTGTCTTTGTTTGGAACGCAATTGCTTATTTGTCTGCAGCAACAGGAAATTTGCCAAAACTGCTGAGCAGCGAAATTTCTGTCTAATTTCTAACAGTTAGTAGATCTTTCCGTTCTTTGCACGCTTACTCTGTACGTAGAGAGGAAGTCCTTTCGACCGAGTCCCAGTTAGTTGAGCGGAGGTCACTTACATATGAGCGGTTTCATTTGACACAGCTAGAAATAATGAATATCCCTTTGATATTACATCTACTTAGAGAGATTGCCTTAAAACCCAAAACCGAGCATCAATTTGTACCTGAAAACGCTATAAATGTACATTTCACTTAAGCAATGTGTAACAATCTGCTGAAAATTATTACAAAATATGATACCTAAAACTGCTCAATCACCGAAGAGTTATAATGATTATTTGTACTCAGCTTACGACGTGGAGTGCAGCGCGCGACGCCACTGTTCTAAATACGTTTAAACAAATAAAATAATGTGACAAAGCAAAGCAAACTATATATTTCGTGACATTTTAGGGAGCTAGGGATCAAAAAATGCTGTTTGGGAGGACATAACTCTAAAAAAACAAATGTGTAAGAAGAATGTAACTCCTAAAAATCTTGGAAATCCTGAGGGATTTCAGGAGTTGCATCCTTCAAACCGCTAGTTCACAGTTGCATTTGTTTTGCTAAAATAATTGTCGTAACGTTTTACATTTTTTGGTGTATAGACAGTCTCATTGCAGTTTACATAATGTTTTAAAACATCTGGATAATTGTTAGTAGTGTGAGGAGATTTGGATTTTTGTAGAGATTTCGTCCTGTAAGTGAAGCCAATCTATGCTGAAGAGCAGAGAGGCACTGTACAGCTGTCTCATCCTTATTTGGAAATAGTAAACAATTCGGTTGTAAACCTCGAGGTAAAAGTTTGATGTGTCATGATGTGTTTGAGGTCATGCAACGACAAATGACTTAAACATCTGCCCACGGTGCGGTTGGAATTGTGCTGATGAATCCTCAATTGGAAGTATCGACAGGGACAATCCAGTCCAACGTACTTTAAAGAGATGCGTTCACACCACAACGGGCTAAAATTTAATTACCTGAAAAAAACCTACCCTCTTTTCTTCGGTTCATTTGCCAACAACTCACAGTATGATGTGCTGTAGAGCAACGTCAAAAAACACTACTGCGGGATTTTTGGTTTCAAAATTGACTAACAGTTCTACTTAATTTTCAAAATCGTCGTTATTCACAATTCGTTTCACGCTTTCAAGTAGGCACCGACTAGGTAATGGGTGATTAGTATCAACAGGATAGACTTTCATGACCTAATTGGGAAACGCTGCAAGTTCTTGGACTACTGAATTGCAGTACGTTGCACAATCATTTCTGGTATGCAGGGATCTTGATTATCATGCTATTGGATATTTAGCAAATTCTCGTAGCCTGGTGCTTTTGAGAATATGCAAAGCATTTTGGGAAAAAGATCTTTGATCGATTCCACCTATAGGATTGCAGGTGCTAACGTTTGTACCAAAATAACCTGGCGAAATTGACACACATTTGTTTCGTATGAACTACGCAGCAAATGATATGTGATAGCCATTTTGTTTCGCGACATAAAGTGAAAATTCACAACCATTCGAGCAGTCAGCTAAAAGCGGATGACAAAGTAAACTAAACTAAGCCTTAAGTAAAAGGGGTGAAAATTCAGCAAAACGTTTATAATGCTGGCGTAAATAAAGAACCGGAAGTTTTCGTTCTAATCAATTTACACAATGCCCACCCGGTCAAACTGTGAACTCGAAGTGTTATTTTACAGTTTCAAGTTGTTCTTATTGAGGAGAAATACTTTTTAAGAAAACGAAGCTGACGCGTCATGAGCATTAAATTTTTGCTTGCCCAAACTGAATATGCGTAAATACAAAGCAAGGACTGAAACCAACCGGAAAACTAATTTGGAAGTGTTGGAGAAATATTGCTCCAGATCTAAAGGTGCGATCACATCGACGTGACGAAATTCGGCTGCGTTACCTATTTTTTCCGATATCGACTATTTTGCATGACTTTTGGTGATAAAGCGTTCAAGTTTTCTCATCAATTTTTCCAGCTATGGGAAAGCAAGATGCGATGTGTGTTTCTTTGGAGAAGAAGCCGTTGGGAGTATCTGTTAACGAAATACCAACAAAAATTGAAAAATTGTTGACTTTGAGTTGTCTTTATTTCATTTACATGGTATAAAGAAAACAAGCAGATACCCCAAAGAAAGCGACTGGTTATTTCATTCAACGAATACGGTCCTCTCTTACTTACTGACCGGCTTTAGGTATTCAATGGTATCGATAGAAAAATGAAACACTGTCTTTGTATAATTAATAATGACACTGTCTAAATGCTGTTGTACCCGATCACCAGAACGAGTTATGGTAATATTCCGTGACAAAACTCGTCCGAGCGTAACAAAGGGTATGATATTTTAGTCAAACAATTCTATTGTTTTGGCGGTCAACATAGAAAGGCTAAGTCTAACATTTGTATCTTTCTTAAACCATTTTTCTTATTAATAAAATACCCACTGAAGCTCATTTAGTGACTCTGAATCCGGGTCCTCAATTGCCAGAAATAATAATCGAAGCCTTTGCAGGGCCTTTCGGAACAATCGAAATATAACTGTTTAAAAATCAAAATTTGGAAATGCATCAAAAAAGATCTAAACACTTTCCACGATTTGGTCGGGCAGCAAAGAAGCTAGCTTCCGTAATGGAAATTCCGCTAAACTTTAGTCGCTTTTTATGTCAGAGAATTAAAATCCCATGTGCATCTGAATTAACTACATCAAACTGCTGTTCGCCCGAAATGAATGAATAAGTCTTAAAAACGGT